CTCATGTTCAATCATATCAACTTTAATTTTTTTTTAATTATACTTGACATTCATATTTATTTATGTTTTATATTATACTAGTAGCCTGGGGCACGAAATTCATGCACTGGGGTGGTAGGGGGAAAGGGGCCCCTCAGTCTGGCCTTCACCCTCTCCAATCTGAGACCCCTTAGGGAATGTCCAACTACCTGTTTGTGCCCACACTTTATATATATATCCACTGAGCCAAACCAGTTTCAACTGTGCCCACACTTTTAACAGATAACAGCTCCATTGTTGTTTTTTTCTTATGCTTAAAATAATTGGAATTAGTAGGTATTCAAAGTGTGTATACATTTGGGGGGGACACCCTGTATATCTCTAGTCAGTGGTGAAAGAAACCAACAGCAGATTTGGAACCTCAAGACAGGGAACCTCGCTCACTCCCCACATGTCTCCCCAGTTCACTTTCCCCCTAAGTGGGCAACAGGAGAATCAACGTTTTCTCTCATTAATTCGGAAAAGCACGTCCTGTCACCCGCTGCCCAGCAGGAGTGCGCTAGGCCCCAAGCAAGCGAGGCTCAGTCAGGGCAGCCTTCGCTCATGGGTGCTGGCACCCAAAGTGCACATTCCTCCTCTACAGTCACCCCGACTATCCCACTGTTTCACTGAGAGGACGGAATTCCTCTCCGCCTCTGGGTTCTTGATCTTGAACGCTGACCAAAGGCACCTCAATGAGGGCCGCCCGCCCACCAGGTGTGTCTGTCTGCACCTGCTCCTGCCTCAGCACCTGCATTAACCCCCAAGAGGTGATCTTGTAGCTGCACTGGCCTCTGTGGGAACAGGGCATCACCACTCCGCCTTCTCACTGTCATCTCACAGGCGCCCACCCTCAGCCAGAACACCCAGACACTCTCCAAAGGACGTGAGTGCATCGGAGGGGATGTGTGTACATCCTGTGGGGGTGTTAGGCATGCTGGGTTGATGGAAGTGCAGTGGAGAGGCGGGGGGGACTTGTGCACGCCTTGGTTTGCAACTGTTGCAGGCACGGGAGGGTGACAGTATGCTGGGGGATGTTCGCATGCCAGAGGGGGATGTGCACACCAGAGGCCTCTGGCTTTGCAGATCCGCAAACCCCCATGGTGCGGCCAGGAGGACGTCAGTCTGGCCGGCCAGAGTGGCTGTCCCTGTGATCCTGCACCTTCTGGGCCAGGAGGCGGATCTTGCACAGCCACTCCTTGGCGCTGATGGCCTGCAGGCACTACTTCAGCTCAGCCTTCAGGCTCCGCTTGGTGCACTCACAGGTGTCACCATCACCATGTGGGGAGTACAGGCCGCCCCCTGCCGACCTGCCTCCCCTGTCCAGAGGCTCTCTGTGCTGCTACCTGCCCAGAGTGACTGGGGCTGGGCAGAAGCCAGGCGTCCTGCCCTGCCCAACCCCAGGTGGTCCGCCCCTGTTCGAGCTGCCGCCCCGCCAGGAAGGATCACGGATCTGGGTCCTGGGACCAAAGACAGCCTCAAGTACTGCCCCCCACCCGGCAGGGTCACAGACCAGTGTCTTGGTCCCATGGACAGCCTCAAGTACTGCCCTCCACCTGGCAGGGTCACACATCCGGGTCCTGGGACCGCAGACAGCCTCAAGTACTGCCCCCCACCCGGCAGGGTCACAGACCAGTGTCTTGGTCCCATGGACAGCCTCAAGTACTGCCCTCCACCTGGCAGGGTCACACATCCGGGTCCTGGGACCGCAGACAGCCTCAAGTACTGCCCCCCACCCAGCAGGGTCACAGATCCGGGTCCCGGGACCACGGACAGACTCAACGCTGCCCCCCACCCCCCAGAACATGGATCTGGGTCCCAGACCACCAACAGCCTCAAGTACTCCCTCCCATCTGCCAGGTCACAGATCCGGGTCCGGACCACGGACAGCCTTCAGCACTGGCCCCCCGCCCGGCAGGGTCACAGATCTGGTCCCAGAGCGCGGACAGCCTTGCCTGCTGCCACCTGCCTTCAGTATACAAATTAGCCACCATCTTGTTGCTTCAGTGTGGGGGTCCCCACTGGGGTGCCTGGCCAGTCTGGGTGAGGGGATGATGCCTGTTTTCAGGCTGGCGGGCAGCTGAGGCTCTGAACCTCTCCTTTTTTTCTTTTTTGTTTATTTTGGAATTTATTTACCTTCTATGGCTGTCACTGGAGCTGAGAGCCCGCTTTAGCTTTGA